CTGAATATTGAATTCATCTCTCAAATAATGAAAACTTATGCATATAAAAATAAGATCTAAAATAAACTTATATTTTAAAATTCAATAATAGTAATTTTATAAAAATATGGCTCAGTTTTATTTTTGGAATTTGTGATTAGCTTAATCTCATATGCTTACAAAAATTTAATTCAATAGATAGTTTAAATAATTTATTAATATTTCAGATAAAAAGGGCAAAGTGTTGCTTAAAAAAATAAGCAAATATTTGCCTCATCTTCGAGTTCGAGATCGCCTTTGAGAGGAATTACAAATGGTAACTTTTAAAATTTTGGTATATCTATTTATATTTATGTAAACAATTGATTTTGTTTCATTTTATGTAGAAAATGTTCCAACAAGTTTTCAAACTCTCAAGCTCCTCAAAAATGCTCATTTGCGTATCGACAGAGTGAGAACATTTACTTCCTGCAAGTTGTTTAAACACCCAACATGCTATAGTTATATCATTATACGTAATCATAAACAAAATCTAGATAAATTTTTAAACCTATTCTTGAACTATTCAAATTCAACATCATCTTTATTTTAGAATACTAGGATGGTTATTACCAGATTAGGTAAGTATATCTTGGAAGCAAAAGTTTTGACAGGGTTGAGTGCATGTGAGAAGGTTTTGATATTGAGAATATCTTTGACTCCATCTGATGTGAGATGGCCTTTCAAGTTTGAAACAAGACAATTTCCTTTGATTGTTTGATATTCTATGACAATAAATAAGAGTCAAGGACAATCATTGTGTAACGTTGGATTAGTCTTGAAAAAAACCTATTTTTAGTCATGGTCAGTTATATGTTGCACTTTCACGTGTCACTAATCCTGAGAGTTTGAAAATAGCTATATGTGATGGAGATGGGAAAAGTACCAATGTACGAACGTTGTATTTAAAAAAGTACTCCAAAATTTGTAAGACATTTTTGTTTTCAAATTCTATAAATATTCATTTATGTTTATATTGATATTATTACTTTATTATACTCTTACATATGAATAAAAAGAATATTTTTTTAAATCACGACAGTAATTAGTTTTTATTCTAAGTTGTATATCTTTGCATGTGATTGTTTCCCGTGCATCGCACGGGTAGAATACTAGTTCTTTTCAAAGCACGTCAATCATAAAATGTAAAAACCATGTGCTTAAACTATATATAGAATATTTCCAAGATATTAATTGCCTGTTTTCCAAAGAAAGGAAATCCATATATAATGTACGAATCATGGAAATCGTGTACATTCCTAAACTTCTATGAATCAGTTATTACGTAGTATTTCACAATCACAACGATTTAATGCCTTAGATATGATGATCATAAGATGTTTTCTTTTTGGCAACCAAATACGGAGTAGTATTATCGATTAACCAAATATGAACCAAATAGTATGGCTAGCTATATAATCAATCGAACAATAATTAAAACTATAACCTCAAGATTTATTAACTTATAAAAAATTGTTACCATATTATGAATATATATGATCATCTTATCAATATAAATAGCAAGCAATATTCCTTCAATCCCTCATCTTGCATCCACGAGCTATAACTGCTAATTAGTGCTAAGGGCATTGTAGTTAAAGCTAAAAAACCATGGCAAAGTTTTCTTACAGCAGTCTCGTCCTTGTTTTCCTCATTCTTTCTCTTGCAGGTAAATAATAATTACTCTGTAAATTTTATGTACTGTATTTAATTTCATGAAAAAATAGCACGATCTGAACTTCTTTAATTTATACCCGAGTAAAAATTTGTTTAATGACACTACAAAAAAATACGGGATTGACACGAATTTAGCGATGCTTTCGTGTCAAATAACTCATGTCAAACTGTTTTTGACACGAATTTGACCTATATCTGCCAAAATCTCTGCCAATTTTAGGAAATTGCTGCCAAAAATCCATGTCAATCTCGTATTGTTTTGTAGCGTGAATGATTGAATGAATTGAAAACATGGTACTAGTATTTAATTTGGTATACATGCAGGTACGAATGCAATTTGCGTGGTGGATCCGAATGGTTGCGTGCTACCGAATTGTAGAAAAACGTGCTTTCTCCAGTATCAACAAGCTTTTGGTCAGTGTATCCCCAAACCCGGTGCCGGTGACCCGCTCAACCCGGAATATCAATGCATTTGCACCGGCGGCAAATGTAATAATTAGAATATATAGTTTCCACGCCTCCTAATTATATGGAGCAATTATCCGTCAATTTTGCAGTTTAGATTAAATTATTATAATTACTTACGAAGAGCATCTAGTCTAGTCTAGAATAATGTAGTTTAGTTTTAATTCATAAATCATAATCACTGGTTCTACATTGGCTATGTTTGGCGGGCATAAGTCCCTGACTTTTAGCTTTTGTACTGTTCAAAAAGTTCCTAAAAGCTTCTAGTTGTGTGTTTGGCATGACAATATTTAAGAGCTTTTCAAAAATTAAAAGATCTTTTTTGAGATGCTACCGAGAGTAGCATCTAAGAAAAGCTAGTGACTTTTAGTATTAATTAATCCTAACAGCTTGTATACCAAACCGAACTACATCAAACAGTCAGCTTTTTATCAAACAGCTACCACCTTTTCTTTTTAAGATCTTTTCAGTCACTAAAAGCTAACAGTTATTAAAAAGCTTACAAAAGTATCTTTTCAGCTAGTTGTGCCAAACATGCCCATTATCACATCAGTAATGAATATATATTTATAATTATTTATTTCAATGGTGTTATGTTCATATTTCAAACAACTTTGCTTCTTGTACACGCCAGTATGTACATAGGCCGGTTTTTTTATTTGTGAATAGCTAAAAATTAAACATTGCCTCGTAGATTAAAAAATTGTCTATGACGGACAAATAATGTTTGTTCACTGGTAAAAAATTGAACGTTTAAAAAACAGAAAAGTTCTACTTCGTATTGCACATTGCATCAAATAAACATCTCACATGAGTGTTTTTTTTATGGAATCTCACATGAGTGTTGTGTTTTATTTTATACGAGTACCATGTTGTTTCTTATTTGTAGAATTAGTATCGAAGTTAAGAATATGAACATAATCTCGATGTTCGTGTTCACAAAGGTTCCATAAACTTTTGTTAGAATAATGAGTGAGAATTGCATTTAATTCTATACATGGTTGAAATATATAGGGAAAATTACAGAAAGTATTTGTGGTTGGACCCATTTTCCGATAGAGTCATGTTTTTTATTTCTTATTAAAATGGTTCGAGTATTTGAATTCCGTTATCACAAGAGTGTCATGTCGTTAAAAACGCTTGAGAAAGACAGTTAATAGTAACTCCGATTTTCAAAAGTGGTCGAAAATTAAAAGAAAAATATCGGAAGGTGCGTCTCAACAAGACGACCGCTAGGTCATCTTTCTTTTTTGTTTCCAACCACCATTATCACCATAAAATCCAACGGAAAAGTGATATTAGCGAAATCATTTTTTAAAAAATAATTCAAGCAGATCCGAAAAATCCAAAGACGAAGGTGGTTTGGAGCCTTGGAGGTCATCTTGATGAGGCGAACCTTTCAATAATTATCTTTTAATTTTCCAGTCACTTTTGAAAATCGGAGTTATTACTAACTGTCTTTTTTAAACTTTTTAACGGTATGACCCTCTTGTGATAACGGAATTCAAACACATGAATCAGTTTGATAAGAAATGAAACACATGATTCCTACTTTTCCCAATTAAAGATATACGATACAAATCATGCAATACTTATTGATCGATCAATTGATACACATACACCTACCTGTCTTAGACTATTTTCGATATAAAAAATACAATAAATCCATTAATATTTGTTGAATTGTAAAAACACTAAAATCAGCTAGCTTACCTAGCTAAAAATAAAAACTCATGCAATGACACCAAAACAGTCCAAAACATCTATCCTGACTGTCCATATGATTGTTATCATTTAACTCATACGTGCAGTGAAGATTTTGTTTCTCACTGAGAATATGTCAAATAATATGGGTTATTCGTAATAGGGAGGTAATTGTTTTGGAATTTTACATATGTACCAAAGAAAAATGTGGCACGATACAAAGTTAATTACGACTTCAACGTATATTTCTTTTTCAATTTTTAAATTTGTTCATGACTTATACAGATACATAATGGGATCGATCAGATTTGTTAAACAATTGCAATGTCCACTACGGAATAATTATTATATTTGTGCAATATAATACTAATACGTTAGTTAATTATTATTACGTCCATCCCTTCTTTGATAGCGGAATGAAATATGTTGTAATCAACATTTATTTTGTTACGAATTACGAATTTCCCATACCTATTCGGCAAACAAGTACAGGGACGGAGCCAGGGCAATGGACCGGGTCGAGCCAGTACAAAAAATATTTTTGGAAAAAGTTTACACGAAATTTTTTACACTAAGAACATAGAGATATTTTTTAAATTTGGGCTGGGTCGGAGCCAGGGTTGGCCACCCCCTAGCTACGCCCATGGGTGTGCACACGCTTTTTTTACCCACTATGGCAATGTTACATATAAAAACATGTACAAATGACATGTACAAAATGATTTTTTCATTATACTCACCCTTTTCGAAAGGAAGTTCCCATACTTTTTAATGTCTCAAAATGAAATTAAAGAATTTTAATAGGAAATGTCATTTACTTTTTACTGCCTTTTACTTAGTTAATTTGACATAACGTAATGATATTCTTAACAAATCAAAACATAACTTTATCTTACATGAATATGTAAGTGAAGCTCGACCAGACCTGATAGTATTGGGAGTTAATTTATTAGAGTTTATTTATTTACTTATTCGGATTATTTACTTTCTCCCTAAATCATTGTAATTTTAGGAAGTTTATTTCTTTTAGACTTCTTTCTTATTTTAGTTTAGGGTTAGCCGTGTTAGCCGTGTCTTGCATGTAAAGCCATGCGGCTATATAAACAGAGGTACGAAGTACTAAAGAAATAAGATTGATTTTTCTTCTTCTATATTTTCTTACTTACGTATCTTGCAAAAGTAATATGGTATCAGAGAGTTTTTAACCGATCCTTGAGCATGGTGAATGACGATGAAGATGCAACAACCGGCGCCACCTTGCACCGAAGATGATTGGCTTACGATACATTCAATGATTGTGTCGTGGCTATTGAATGTTATCACTCCCGAAGTCAAGGCCAGTTTGGCACGTTATGAAGATGCCGCAAAACTTTGGGGAGACTTAAAAGAACGGTTCTCTTCTGCGGACGGACCACGCATACATCAAACTAAAACCAATTTGGCGAGATGTGTGCAAACTAAAGGCATGCCGGTTGGAACGTATTTTGCTAAACTCCAAAGCTTGTGGGATGACTTGAATAACTACGAACCACTTATTGCGTGTACATGCGGTAAGTGTACATGTGATGTAATGGGACAACATGAAAAACGAAGAGAATCGGAACGATTTCATCAATTTTTGATGGGATTGTACACCGACTTCTTTGGCCCTACCCGCTCGCAGCTCTTGACTCAAACACCCCTGCCTAGTTTGAACCGTGCCTATCAACAAACTATGCAAGAAGAACGAGTGCGTGGTTTTGTTCAGACTCAAGAAGAAAGACCCGATGTTATGGGTTTTGCCGTGCGGACAGATGGCAAGGGGTTTGGACGCGGAGGGAAGATAGACAAATCTGGGTTAATTTGCGCATATTGCAAATACTCCGGACATGAAATTGCTAATTGTTTTGAACTTAACGGTTACCCGGACTGGTGGGGAGACAGGCCAAAACTGGGTATCAAAGGAGGAGGGCGCGGCAAGTCTTCGAGCTCTGGAACGGGGCGTGGAAAAGCTCCTGTGAAAGCACATGCAGCGGTGGCTGATTCAGCGGCTGAGAACAAAGCTCCGCCAGTTGGTGAGGGAAGCAGCAACCAATCGATGCCGCTGCCTAGTTTCACGCCTGAGCAATGGAAATCATTATTGACCATTTTCGGTAACCCTACAGGTTCTACTGATCGCGTGGCAGGTAAATTTGATCATAATGACTGGATTATTGATACAGGGGCGACAAACCATGTTTGCGGAAATTTGGCAATTTTTTGTCAAATTAAATCAGTTGAGCCTTGTTTAGTTGGTTTGCCGGATGGGCAGACGGTGAAAGCTACGCAGGAAGGCCGAGTAGAATTATTTGAAGATTTTTATTTAAATAATGTTCTATATGTCCCTGCGCTAAAGTGCAATCTTATCTCGGTATCTCAGTTAAGTGATCAGTTAAATTGTTTTGTTCAATTTGCTAGTAACTTATGTGTCATACAGGACCGTCACTCGAAGAGGCTGATTGGAACGGGTGAGCGGCGGAATGGACTGTACTATCTTCGGGAGGAACCCTCAGCAAGGATTTTGGCAGTCAGGGACTCAAAAGAATCTGAAGTTAATTTGTGGCATCAAAGATTAGGACATCCTTCTTCAAAAGTTATTGAACACTTAGTTCCTGTAAGTGGTTTGAAGGGTGTTGATAGTTTACCTTGTGATATTTGTTTTAGGGCAAAACAAACACGAGATTCATTTCCTATTAGTTTGAATAAAACTCGTACTATTTTTGAATTAGTACATTGTGATTTATGGGGTCCTTATCCTACCCCTTCTTCGTGTGGTGCTAGACATTTCTTGACTATTGTGGATGATTACTCCCGTGCAGTATGGATTTATTTATTAGTTGATAAAAAGGAGGTGTTGAAAATGTTCCTTTCTTTTGTTGCTATGGTTGATCGTCAATTTTCTAAGAAAATTATTACTGTGCGAAGTGATAATGGCACTGAATTTAATTGCCTAAAGGATTTTTTCAGAAGCAGTGGTATAATTTTTCAGACGTCTTGTGTTAGCACGCCTCAACAAAATGGGCGTGTTGAACGCAAACACAGACATATTTTAAATGTGGCACGTGCCCTGAGATTTCAAGGGCACTTGCCGATTTCCTTTTGGGGAGAATGTGTTCTAGCGGCGTCACACCTTATTAACCGCACCCCATCAGCTATTCTTGAGTATAAAACTCCTTATGAGATTTTGTTTGGTGTGCCACCTTGCTATAAATCACTGCGGGTTTTTGGTTGTCTGTGCTATGCGTTCAATCTAAAGTCAAAAGGAGATAAATTTGCTAATCGGAGTAGAAAGTGTATTTTTTTGGGATATCCTTTTGGAAAGAAAGGTTGGACTGTCTATGACATTGAGAACGGAGAATATTTTGTGTCCCGTGATGTCAAATTTTTTGAGAATATTTTCCCTCTTGCACAACCTCCTGAGCCCTTGAATGAAATGGAGCCATCATCAGAAATTTTGCTCCAACATTATGATCACATGGATAATCATGGATATCCAGTGGTGCCTGCTACAATTGCTCCACAGCATGTCCCGGTTGTTACTTCTTCTGCTGCGGACTCACACACCTTCCAAGAGGTACACGCAGACTCCCAGGTTTCTCATGACCAGTCCGAAACAGTGCGGCGGGGACACCGCCCACGGATGCCTTCTGTCCGTCTTCGAGATTACGTCACTCATACTATTGTGCAAAACAGTCCATCTCCCGCTTCTCTCGTTTCATCATCCTCCTCAGGTACGCCGTTCCCTATAACTCATTATGTTACTTGTGATAAATTTTCTGCAAAACATTTGACTTACTTGGCAGCTCTTGATTCGGCTACTGAACCCACTTCTTTTAATGATGCGGTGAGGCATGATGGATGGCGTCAAGCCATGCGTGCCGAAATTCAGGCTCTTGAAAATAATTCTACCTGGAGTCTTGTGCCATTGCCCCCCGGCAAACGTGCATTGGGGTGTCGATGGGTTTATAAAGTTAAACATAAATCTGATGGCACCATTGAACGCCTTAAGGCACGATTGGTCATTTTTGGGAACCGACAGGTTGCAGGACTGGATTATACAGAGACATTTGCTCCTGTTGCCAAAATGGTAACGGTACGGGCATTCCTTGCGATTGCTGCCTCTAAGAATTGGGAATTGCATCAAATGGATGTTCATAATGCATTCTTGCATGGTGACCTCCAGGAAGAAGTATATATGAAGATCCCTCCCGGCTATACCACCGCTAATCAATCTTTGGTATGTCGTCTTCATAAATCACTCTATGGGCTTAAACAAGCTCCACGGTGTTGGTTCGCCAAATTAGTTGCTGCCCTCAAAGGCTATGGTTTTCTCCAGTCTTATGCTGATTATTCTCTATTTACCCTAACGCGTGGCAAACTTCAGCTTAATGTGTTAGTTTATGTGGATGATCTTTTAATCTCTGGAAATGATGCTGATGCCATTGCTAGTTTTAAAAACTACCTTAATGCGTGCTTTCATATGAAAGATTTGGGTACTCTTAAGTATTTTCTTGGCATTGAGGTGGCGCGCAACTCTTCTGGTATTTTTCTTAACCAGCGCAAATATGCTCTTGATATTATTGCTGAAACTGGTCTTCTGGGTGCCAAACCGGCTTCTTTTCCCATAGAACAGAATCATGCTCTCGGTAATGCTTCTGGTTCGTATCATCCGGACCCTGAGCAGTATAGACGTCTTATTGGTCGGCTCATCTATTTGGCTGTTACTCGTCCTGATCTTACATATTCGGTTCACATTCTGTCTCAATTCATGCAACAACCTCGGGCTGAACATTGGACAGCCGCTCTACGTGTTGTTCGCTACTTGAAGGGCTCCCCTGGTCAAGGCATCTTACTTCGAGCTGATAGTGATCTTTCTCTTACTGGTTGGTGTGATTCAGACTGGGCGGCTTGCCCAATCACACGGAAGTCTATATCTGGGTGGCTGGTTTTTCTGGGTCATTCCCCTATCTCGTGGAAATCTAAAAAGCAGACTACTGTGGCCCGATCATCTGCGGAGGCCGAATACCGTTCTATGGCAGCTGCAACTTGTGAACTTAAGTGGCTAAAGGCTCTTCTTTTAAGTCTCGGTGTTCAACACCCACAGGCCATTCCTCTCTACTGTGACAGTCAATCTGCCCTGCATATTGCTAATAATCCTGTTTTCCATGAACGTACTAAGCACATTGAAGTTGACTGCCACTTCATTCGTGATGCTATTCGTGACAACCTAATTGCTCCTAGTTATGTTCCCACTACTATCCAATTAGCCGATATCTTTACTAAAGCGCTTGGTAAAACTCATTTTGAGACGCTATTGAGCAAGTTGGGCATTCTCGATCCCCATGCGCCAACTTGAGGGGGGGTATTGGGAGTTAATTTATTAGAGTTTATTTATTTACTTATTCGGATTATTTACTTTCTCCCTAAATCATTGTAATTTTAGGAAGTTTATTTCTTTTAGACTTCTTTCTTATTTTAGTTTAGGGTTAGCCGTGTTAGCCGTGTCTTGCATGTAAAGCCATGCGGCTATATAAACAGAGGTACGAAGTACTAAAGAAATAAGATTGATTTTTCTTCTTCTATATTTTCTTACTTACGTATCTTGCAAAAGTAATAGATAGAAACCGGATCATAGCCAAAAACCGGATCATGACTATTCCAATTTAAAAAACATTTACATAAGGATTGTAGTTATTACTCCGTATTATTATTACTGTTGAGGTTATTATATTTTCTTTTGTTATTTAGGTTTAGAGAGAAAATTGAGTATACGGTAGTATTTTTTACAAGGCAATGACAATGAAGGAATAACTTTAGGATAATACTTATTATTGTTGTGGTTGTAGTTGTTGAGGTTGTAGACTACTTGTAGTTATTATGAATAAAGTATTGTTGATTTATATATCTAAAGTTATAACTCAACATATTTTGGGTCAAACACGATCCGGAGTAATCACTAGAATTCTCATATTTAATCAGACGTACTAGATATCATGCCGATTTGTGATGCTTTTTCCAGTATATAACAGTTTTCTTATTTGAACCAACTTTTGCACGCACTATAAGTGGGGGGAGGCAGTAAGGGCGAATTGTCCAAAAGATCATGAGCAAATAAATGACTTTGTGGCTGGCTATTTAGTGACAAGATAGTACTTTTATTGATAGATAGCATTTTGAAAATAAATGGTAGAAGTGAGATGAACAAAATATTCATGTCATATACGTGATGGGTCTTCGCATATACTCCCCGAAAAGGTTTGTCAAATTGACTTTTCTTGATCAATGATAATCAACTTTGATTAATGATATTTTTTAATACAAAATTATTTAGAATATGAAAATTATATCAAAATGATCTTTATTCAAATCAAAATCATTGTCCAAAATTTGTCATCATTGACCAAGAAAAAACAATTTGGCAAACCTTTTTCGGGACGGATGTAGTACTATCTTTTGTACATAGATACCTTTAGAAGTAGTGATTCAATTCCGATTTTTTTAAAACACAAAAAATAGGTGAGTTGTGCACGTTTTAGTTCAAACTTCAAAGCATAACGATTGAGAATGGCATTATGGCAAGAAACTTGATTTATCCCAGAAATGGTGGTCGTAGTGAGTTTGATGAGTGGGACAATGCAATTTGGTACAATGATATCAACAAAGATGTCTTTTGAGGAGAATGTGACGTGACAAATGACAAATGAGATTATTAGGCATTTGTAGCTAGATTGATTTAAGTCATTTAACAAACAAAAAGAAAAAAAGATGTGAAACGTCAATGCTCAATAGTCAATACCATCCCGAGATTAGAGGTTTGGAATGATAGAAGAATATAAACGATTTCAAAGTACTACTAATGATTTCAAATTAGGAATAAAACATAAATTTAATGTGTGTAAGTGTGTTGGTTGTTTATTTTAGTTAATTATTACTTCGTATCGAGATACTTAATACGAGTATAAATTATGGAGATTTAACAATTATGTTAAAGACGGTATCGAGGATTAGTTCGAGATTTTATTATGAAGAAAGTTGTGTTAGTTGGAATAGATTAAACTTATGTTTGAACTATACATTATAAAGCCTCTTTATCCATTCTCGTGATGTACGTACGATACTTTGATTATCTTTAATACGAGTCTCTTAGGTCACCAATATTACTAATTATGAGACTTCTTTCTAATTCTTCCAAAAAAGGAGACTACCGTGTGACCATTTAGTAGTAACTTATAGGATCAAAACATCAAAAATACCCCTAAGTAATACTCTATGTCTCTATATACAATAACTAAATACTATCACTACAGTTGTACATATGTACTACGTACTCCCTTCGTCCCTTAAAACTTTGTCAACTTTCCATTTTTGGATGTCCCACTAACTTTGCCACTTTCCATTTTAAGTAAAGAATTTGTGGTTCCAGCTAATTCTCTCTCCTCTGCACAAACGTCAACCACACAGTTTTTACTTTATTAATCATCGTGCCGATCAAACTTGGCAAAGTTTTAAGGGACGGAGGTAGTATCATTCTAAAATCATAATGAATACGTATGTACTAAATTCCCGTTGCCATTTCCTAGCTCCTCAAAATGCTACCGCCATTTTCAAGATGTGAAAAGTTTTACTACCTCCGTCCCAAAATAAATTTGATTTTACTGTGGAGTGCACTGTTTAAACACTGTTTGGCACTGTTTGACACTTTTTTATGTAGATTATTTGCCAAATAAGGAAAGTTTTGAAGTGTGAAGTTAATTTCGGGACTGCCCGAAAAGGAAAGTGAGAAGTTGATTTTGGGAGGGAGGGAGTATGATGTTTT